CGTCATTGTTGTTTGGCGGGTCCGGGCTGGGGATTCGAACCCGCCACCTTAGGTGTACGTGGCTGGCGCCTTAGCCGGTTGAGCCATAGGCGCCGAGCCATGAGTTCAGTTTTGAATATGCTCAGGTGTGTGCCCTGTAGACCCAGCTACATGGGAGGCTGGGGTGGGAAGATTCCTTGAGTCCAGGAGTTGGAGGCTGCAGTAAGCTATGATCACTCCTAAATAGCCTGTGCACTCCAACCTGGGTAACATTGCAAAAGTCCATCTGTGGGGAAAATAAAATGAGGATGCTAAGGTGGAAACTCCATGGAGAAATTTGTAGACATGTTTACTATGTGGGCCTATGTGGCTGGAGGATCCAGCTTCTGAAGCTTACAGAATGAACATTTTTCCCTCAGGTCTTTGCAAGAGAAGGGAATGTGCCCAACATCATCATCGCTGTAAGTATTCAGTCCCGGACCTTTTAGGCATCTCGGCATCTCATTTGCCTGCTTCCTCCGCAGAGAGGGCTGTGCCATTTCCCTCAGCAAAGGGAAGTCTTATGGGTTGGTTGCTGTATTGATCTGGTGTGGGGCGGGGGGGATCAGAGGGGAGATGAGTGTAAACTGTGGTGAGCAGTAGAGCAGGAGCTGCACTGAGGTCATTCTGGTGGCTTGAAGCACTTACTGGATATCTTGTTCCCAGGGCCCCCCAGGAACTGGCAAAACTACAAGCATCCTGTGTTTGGCACGAGCTTTGCTGGGCCCAGCAATGAAGGATGCTGTCTTAGAACTCAATGCTTCAAATGACAGGTAGGTCACTGACAAGTGACAAATGACAGGCCTAAAGGGTGGTGAGGGTTTTACATTTTGAATTGTTAGAGAAATGCATTTTTTCAGTTCCATCTTGTAGTTGGAGCTCGCCTTGCCAGCTGTGTTTTCCTTTGCAGTGAAACAGTGTGAGAATTGCTTACTTGTTGACTTGCTGTTTACTTTTCTTTAATGGAAATTTTGAGAAATTATTTTTAATTGTGAAGTATACATAACATGAAATTTGGCATCGTAACTACTTTTAAGTATGCACTTTAGTAGTGTTAAATATTTTCACATTTCTGTGCAACCAAATGGCCAAACATTGTCATTTTGCAAATCTGAAACTCTGTATCCCTTAAACAATACCTAGTCCCTGGGAATCGCCATTCTACTTTCTGTCTCTATGAATTTGACCACTCTAGGTACCCTATATAAGTGGAATCATACAGCATTTGTCTTTTTGTGACCGCCTTAGTTCACTTAATGTAGTGTCCTTGAGATTCATTCATATTGTAGCAAATGTCAGAATTGCCTATTTATGGCTTAATAATATTCTAGTGTGTGTACATACCACATTTTGTTTATCCATTTGAGTTACATTCCATCTTTTAACTATTATAAATGCTGCTATGGGCTCAGCGCCTGTGGCTCAAGCAGCTAAGACGCCAGCCACATACACCTAAGGTGGCGGGTTCGAATCCAACCTGGACCCGCCAAACAACAATAATGGCTGCAACCAAAAAAAATAGCTGGGCGTTATGGCGGGCGCCTGTGGTCCCAGCTACTTGGGAGGTGGAGGCAGGAGACTCGCTTGAGCCCAGGAGTTGGAGGTTGCTGTGAGCAGTGAAGCCATAGCACTCTACCCAGGGGGATAGCTTGAGGCTCTGTCTCAAAAAATAAAAAAAATAAAATAAAATAAATGCTGCTATGAACCTGGCTATCCAAATACTTCTTTGAGACTCTGCTTTCAGTTCTTTTGGATAAGTGGAATTGCTGGATGCCAGGGTAATTCTTTTTAATTTTTGAAGAAACTGTCATACTGTTTTCCATATTTGCTCACCACTTTACATTCTCACCAGAACACACAATGATTCTTTTACCACATCCTTGCCAACACTTGTTATTTTCTGTGCTTTTTTATTGCTAGTAGCCAACCTAATGGGTATGAGGTGCTGCTTTATCTTTCAGATATGAAATAGAGGGTTATGAAATGAGAGCCTGTTGGATGAAATCCGGGTAGAGAAAAATAAAGAGAAAAGTGTATGGGAGGGTGCACATAGGTTAAAATCTGCCTTTGATTATTCCTTACTCCCCCCCACCCCACACACACACAGTTTTTGTCCAGGGCTGAGTTTGAACCCGCCACCTCTGGCATATGGGGCTGGCGCCTTACTCCTTTGAGCCACAGGCGCCGCCCAACCTTTGATTATTCCTTTGAGGATATATTCCTCACCTCTTTAATATTTTTTTAGTTTTGGGCCGTGCTTGTGGCTCAGTGAGTAGGGCGCCAGCCCCAAATACCGAGAGTGGCAGGTTCAAGCCTGGCCCCGGCCAAACAGCAACCAAAAAATAACTGGGCATTATGGCAGGTGCCTGTAGTCCCAGCTACTCAAGAGGCTGAGGCAAGAGAATCGCCTAAGCCCAAGAGGTGGTGGAGGTTGCTGTGAGCTGTGACACCACGGCATTCTACCAAGGGCGATAAAGAGAGACTCTGTCTCAAAAAATATATATATATATTTTCTTAGTTTTGGCTGGGCAAGGTGGCTTATGTGATAATCCTGGCACTCTGGGAGGCCAACTGGGAGGATCCCTTGAGCTCAGGAACTCAAGACCAGCATGAGTAGGAATGAGACCCCATCTTTACTAAAAACAGGAAAAAAAAAAATTAAATAGATGTTTTGGTGGGTGCTTGTAAGTCCTAGCTACTCCAGAGGCTAAGAAAGGAAGATCACTTGAGCCAGGAGTTTGAGTTTGGAGATGTACTGATGACACAGCATTCTCACCCGGGGCAACAGAGTGAGACTTTGTCTCCCAAAAAAAAAAAAAAAAAATCCTAGTTTTGAGAATCTGTGTACCTGGAACAGGCAATGTCCTTTGAATATGACTAACCGTGCCTCAGCTGTCATGCGTGAGCCTTCAAACTATCCATTTTATAAATGCTGATTCTAGGTATCCAATACAAATAGGTTCTAGCTTACCATGACCTCTTATTCTTAGACACTTATATCATCAAAACACACTGCTTATTTGGGAGGCTGAGGTGGAAGTATTGCCTGAGCCCAGGGCAATACAACAGGGTAGCACCTGTGGCTCAAAGGAGTAGGGCACCCAGCCCCATATGCCGGAGGTGGTGGGTTCAAACCCAACCCTGGCCAAAAAAAAAAAAATCAACAGGCTCAGTGCCTGTAGATCAAGCAGCTAGGGCACCAGCCACATACACTAGAGCTGGCAGGTTCGAATCC